AATGTATATTAGATAGTAGTTCAACATCTTAACACTCGGACCGAGAAGGCGCTTTGTATTTAAAGTTTTAAAATAGACGGTCTCGTTTCCAATCATATTGTCTTAAAATAAACATGAATTTCCTTAAATATGCAATATATGCTTGTTGTACAGGGTGGGCCATCTATTGGTACGTTTTTAAAAATGCGATCAAATGAGCATACATTGATATTTTTTATTAATTTTTTTTTTGTTGTGAAGCTAAAAGTATCCGCGTCAAGAATGAAAAACGATTTCGTTCATGTGGCTCCCTCTACTGGCCTTACAGTATGCCATTCGGTCACCCCAATTATTAATGACATTTTGGACTACCTCGGCGCCAATTTCACTCAAAACAGTCGTAATATTGTTTTTCAAAGCTGGAATTGTCTCTGGATTATCCGCATAACATCGGTCTTTAACGGCACCCCACAGGAAAAAGTCCAGCGGTGTCAAATCGCAGCTACGCGCAGGCCAATTGACATCTCCTGAACGGCTGATTATGCGGTTGTTGAACTTGGTGCGCAGAAGGTCGATGGTAAGTCGGCTTGTATGGCATGTGGCGCCATCTTGTTGAAACCAAAGGTCGTCCACATTCATAGTGTCGATTTGAGGCCATAAAAAGTTGGTCAACATGGCTCTGTAGCGTTCGCCATTGACGGTAACGGCGTTTCCAGCATCATTTTCGAAGAAAAATGGGCCAATTATGCCACCACTCCAAAATCCACACCAAACTGTGACTCTTGGAGGATGCATTGGTCTCTCTACGATTGTGTGTGGCTGTTCCGAGCCCCAAATCCGGCAATTTTGCTTGTTCACATATCCGCCGAGATGGAAATGAGCTTCGTCCGAAAAGATGATTTTTCGACCAAAATCGACGTCATTATTGAGCTGGTCTATAGCCCACACAGCAAACTGATATCGAAGCGGATGGTCATTTGCTTTCAACTCCTGAGTCATCTGGATCTTGTAGGCGAATAATCCGAGGTCTTTGTGCAGTATTCTCCTCAGGCTGGTGCGACTAATGCTCAGTTGCTGCGATCGGCGTCGAGTTGAAGTCGTCGGATTCTGTCTCACACTTTGGGCCACAGCCTCAATATTCTCGGGTGTGCGCACTGTCCGAGCTCTGGGACCACTTCTGTCATCCACTAACATCCCTTTCTCACGAACTTTCCTCACCAATTTGCGTATAGCTCCTTCGGTGGGTGCTCTATCACGACCCATATTTCTTTTCAAAATTCGTACAGTTTCGGCGACACAGCACTGACTTTGAAAATAAGTTTTTAAAATTTCAAAACGCTCTTCAAGAGAAAACATGTTGTTTCGTGCCGCGGACGGTATGACTAATAAACTGTCAAAATTTCGGGTCTGTAGCTCGTTTGGTGTTGCCATACGACGAAATTCAAAAACGTACCAATAGATGGCCCACCCTTTATTACCTTTCTCTACAGTAAATCACACACACAACCGTAACCAAATAAATAATATACCGTAACCAAAAAAAACTTAAATCCAAATGGTTATAGTCACCGTTATCGGTAAAAGAATCGAAACCGCTTGGATTTCGGACTTTTCTTATCTATAACCGAAAAAGACCGAAACCATTATCGGTAAAAGAATCGAAACCGAAAATTGGATACAGCCTCTGACCGTGATCGTAATAGGACCCAAATAAAATTGATTTATAATCCGTCTACAATTGGAAAGTAGGCCTTGGAAAGCCCCTCCAATCGGTTTTTGACTAAACTAATAGAATTTAAGTGATTGCAATATGGTGAATTTTTGTTTTAGCTACTTTTTGAGCTACTTTCTATTATTTTATTTTACAATAAACTGTTTTTCCTCCCAACAAATTTATCTTTTAATAATTTTAATACATTTTAGATTGTTATTAGTTTATTTTTATATTATAATTTTCGTTAATAAATGGTTACTCACTGAAATAAATTAGTTCGTAAAAAATTTTTTGTAATTACAACATTATATTGTCTCCGAGAATGACTCAAAAGTGAATCGAAACATGTAAGCGGATTAATTATTATTAAAATTGTTTTGTTAACCGTTATTAGTTTGCACATGGATTACTGTGCTTAACTCCTATTGTCCTGTTATATTCAATTTGTATCATTAAGGAGTCTTTAGAAATTAATTTGTATAAAAATAGGGATTACGTTAAGAAAACAAAAATTTCCTTATTTGATCTTGAAAAGAGGGTCAAATCTATGTTTACCTGGTGGTTACTCTACCCAAACGTAATAACTTTAGATAGATTTATTTTTCATCCTAATGTATTGCTGAGAAAGTGGTTGGCAAATTACTTAAATTTTGCTAAAACTACTGTGAAATCGGCCGCCATCTTGGATTCCATTTTGAATTCAGAAAAAAGCCAATTAGTTTTTGGAAGTAGATGTCACAAGCTTTAATTTGAGCCGTCGCAAACCTCATCTTTTTCAAAACTGTTCTAAGCAAAAAGGGTTCGCTTCACGGAGAATGTTCTATGTACAGAGTGATTCAAAACAAACTTTTGTTCTTAAAATGTCGTTCTAGAGTTAATTCTGAGACGATTTTTCCTCTTCAAAAATTTTCCGATGCTCAGTTTTTGAATTATTAAGAGAAATATTTAGCAAATCACGGTCAAATACAAGAGATAGGCTGGGACGATGCAACTCACTGTCAAACGCGGGTACGTTACGCAAGACGATCAACTTGATGGTTTCACACAATAGTACGCGCACACATATTAATACATTTTCGAAAAAGAAATCTCAAATTAAGGAATGCAAGATTCTCTCTCTCTCTCTCTCTCTTTCTCTCTCTTTCTCTCACTCGCTCACTCACTCAATCACTCAATCATTCACTCATTTACTTACCATGTCAAGATGATTTAATAATTACAAATTTCCATGAGAAAGACCAGAATTCCGATGATTTTTCCGATAGAATTCCAAACAGTGGACTTCCAAACAATTAAGTGTTTCTTTAATAAATTTAATAATCACAACTAACTGTATACTTACTCGAATCATTATTCACTTGTTTAAGAAAATAAGAAATTTATTGATGAAATTGAATTAATCACTGCCAATTAATTATTTAATAGCGGTCGAAAACCGTGCGAAGAAACACATGTTCTTGTCACACAACATACATTTACAAAGAAACGTACATACACACAATACGTGTTTACCTGACGATAGCAAGCAGTCGACTGACTTTATTAATAAATCTATTAATTAATCACTATCGATTAATTCTTTGGCGATCGAAAACCGCGTGTAAAAACATACGTTACTATTATACAACACACGTTACTCGACGTGACAAGTAGTGGCAAGCAGTCGTGCACTGATTTTAGTGGTTGAACAGTCAAATGCACACAAATTCACATGATGATAATGTAATCTAACTTAACGACTTAATACATTAATTTTATATTATGGGTTGGTAAGTTAGATTACTACGACCAAGAAAGATACTTCATGAACTTAAATATTGCTGTTCAACGTGAACGCGTGATTAATTAAAGTGTCACAAAAAGTCAAAATGTGACAATTCCAATTGCAAATGATGAAAGATCGACGATAAAATAATGTTGCATGTTACTCGTTTATTGCAGAGTTAATATTTCCCGCACGTTTCTCTCATTCCTTTCTCTTTTTACTTAGCCTTACGAGAATTCCAGATAAAAACGTATTAGTCGCCCTAAAAAGAGCGTATTGCTTTCGGTCGTCTTGAAAAGAACGGATTGTTTTGAATGCTCTGAAAAGAGCGGATTGCTTTAGACGTCCTGAAAACGACGGAAAAAAAATTATATAAAAAATGTTCAAAATGACCATCCATTATAATGCAGGCTTGCATGCGTCTCAACAAATTTCTTTGTATATTTTCCATAAGATCCTATTCGATAGCCCATACGGCATATCGCAATCTTGTTTCTAGATCTTCTGCGTTAGGAACGTTTTATAAATTAACTCCTTGCTGTAGCCCAGTAAAAGAAATCCAGGGAATTGAGGTCTGGAGATCTTGCGGGCTAACGTATTAGTCTGTAAGTAGTATATGGGCAGACATGGGGCGTCAAAACAAACTCCCTCTACATCTCTCTCCGGCGCCGTGGGCATAGCCTAGACGGGTCAGTCTGGAGAAAGGGCGCGCTCTGATTGGTCGAGGAGTGAAGGGTAGGGTAATTAAATGGTGTGTTCTGATTGATTCGCTCCATATCTATCCATAAAGTGATTGGAGAGGATGGGTGGTAGAGGGCCTCAGACAAAATGGAGGGCAAAGTTTGAAAAAAATGATGAATGGAGATTGGGACTGCAGCATTCTTTTGTCGCGAGGGCAGAGTGCGAACAGCGGGGGGCGAATAGCGGTCGAATTTATGACAGTCATTTTTTGTTGTTGTCGCGGTACAGCGTCTCCGACGTGTAAGCGTTTTAGTGAATGCTTTTATGTATGAGAAAGGAGATCTTATACAAAAATTTGCGTGTCTACAGAGAGTCTTGCTTTTGTTCGGAAGAATTTACCTCGGGGAGGTAAAACAGGAACGAACATGTTCAACTGGCGCGATGTCTTCGAGCATTGCTTTAAAAAAATTCTTTCTATATTACATATATTTAATGTACATTATCTGAGTCTGTAATACGAGGAAAATGTATCTATTGTAAATGAGGATGAGAGGGGGATGGGAGTAAAAAATAGGCAATATTTACAAGTTCAAAATATTTGTTTTAAAGAGATATTACATGAAATAGTTATTTTATTTTTTTGAAAATTTGAACATGACGGCATACAGCATGAGAATTTACGAATTTATGTTTACAATAAAGAAAAATTTTATGAAATAACTGTACAATCAATTGATTATTTTGCTTACAATCAGAGGTAAATAGATCAAGATACTGATTAAGATTATAGCCATTACACAAAAAATATAGTAATACATAGCAGTATTGTCCACAAGTTTGAGAAAGTATTTCTTGCAGCATTGTCGTATTCCATCGATACGTGGTGGAGTTTCGTAGAAGTCGTAAGAGGAATCTTGGATCTAAGGGCGGCAACCCGTAGTTATCGAAATACGTTCCTGTTCCGTGTTCATCGATGTAGAAGGCGACCCAGTGTTGGCCAGGTCAATCGTGATCGTCCGTGTTAACGACAATGGCAGTCGACCTCGTCCACACCCTCGGCAGTTGATCGGCAGGATAGACCCCCGCATGTCGTACGCTGAGATGAAGTAATGCGTTTAAAACTTCCAGCGAATTTATTTCTCGTCGTCGTAGAGCGTGAGAGAGGAAATGTTTGCATAAATTTAAAATGTACCTCTTTTGTCAGCGTATGCAATGTGGAGCTCTCTAAAATGCTCGACGCTTGCGAGACGCTAGTGTTAGCTTTATCTTTATCGGCAAGTCGAATTTTGGAAGATCTTTTTTCTCCTCGTCTGTCATTTGTTTGTCCGCGTTTTGATTCGCCTTTTCTGTCGCGATATTTTTCCTCCACGCTTCAATGTTGCAAGCGATATCGTATTTCTGATTTTTAAATTGAATTGAAACATTCTCGCTGTCAGTTTTTTCGCTCTCGACCCCGTCCTCGCTCCAATTTTCTAAGGGAAGGCTATCGTAACTTGAACTGCTACTATGTCGTATAGTTAGCCAACGTTTCAATTTGTAAGCGTTGCGTAAGGCGCAATGTGATTCGATGTTGATTCGAAATCCGTGCAGCGTTGTCCACGACCTTCGAAACCTGGTAGATTTTTGAAAGTCGGAAAAATTCCTTCCAGATTATATACGTTTTTAGAGAGTAGATTACTCAAATAACGTGTCTTCTCTTGTCTTCTGGAATAGACGTAGCGTGCGTGTGTTGTGTAACGCGATAAATTCGATTTAACAGCGCGAGTTAGATTATCTACCGCCGAATAACCCGCATAATGCGACGGATTGTATATAGTTTTTCAGAAAACGTCATTGTTATCTCAATTTTCACGTCATCGTTATCTCAATTTTTTCCAACCGAACAACCAATTTTTCCCTGTTTGCAAAGATATGGGGGTATCAATTTTTCGTGTACGAGAAAGAATCAGCGAGCTTTCCTCGTCTATTCTTTGTTCGTAATTTTTACGTTTTTCTCCTTCCTTGGGCTCTCGATACAATCGACGTGGGACTCATGCTTTCGATATAACAGGCGTGGAACTCGCGCGCGGTCGAAGTTTTACGCTGTTTATAGCAGCACCGTTCGTAGACAATAATCTTTTATTTCTCATCAGTGCAGAAGGTATGTTCAACACACGGAGTAATCGTGCAAACTGATTTCTACCCACTACTTTCACAGTTTTTCTCTCGCGCATTGCGTCGTTTATTAAGTCAGCGATATTCGAATCTTTCACGACGTTACCGTCTATAGTCAAGATTCCATGCTCCCAACTAATTCTATCGGGAACAGCTT